GCTTCTCAGATAAGGTCAAATTCAAGGAGTTCATCATCACCAAGCCCTTATTTTATAAAATGTTAAAGGGACTTATCTAAGAAAAAGAAGATTAAAAAAACATGTATAGTAAAATAACAGCAAACTCACAATTATTAACAACCATACCTAAAGCAAAAACAAACTAAGCAAACAACTAAAACAGGAACAGAACCACAGAAATGGAGATCACATGGAGGGTTAGCAACAGGGGAGTGGGAGGAAGAAAGTGGGGGAGAAGGTACAGAGAATAAGTAGCATAGATGGTAGGTAGAAAATAGATGGGGAGGGCAAGAATGGTATGGGAAATATAAAAGCTAAAGAACTTAAGACACATGGACATGAACTAAAGGGGTAAATGTGGGTGGGAGAGGGTGTACAGTGTGGAGGGGAATGAAGGGGGGAAATGGGACAATTGTAATAGCATAGTCAATAAAATATATTTTTAAAATATTTTAAAATTAAGGTGATAAGCAGTAAAGTTGTGAATCAAATAAGTGCCAAGGGGCAAGCAAAACATATTAAATGTTGCTAAACAAAATAAGGGAAAGAAAATTGTATTTGGAGTAATTTTATAAAAATAGTAAAAAATGGGGTTTGGGGTTTTGTTTTGCTTACAACAGTATTTCCAGTTCCAGGATGAGGCCCTGGCATACAGGAAACACTGATTTTTTTAAAAAATAATTACATAAAGTTCCTAAACCTATTTTCTCCATGAAACATAAGGTGTGAAGTTGTCTGCTGAGTGTCCAGGGGGATCACAAGTTTGGGTGCTTGAGTAAATGGCTGCTCAGAGGAATTATAAAATGACACAGATCAAAAACATAAAAATGTCTTGCCAACTTAGAGGCCAGATTGTTACCTATTGTTTTATACTTTTGAAATGACTTTCTCGAACAGTTCCCAATATCTTAGGTTTAAAAATGGGAAAGGCACACACATGGATGGGAGAACAAAGGACAAAGGAACTGAGGGCTGACTAAGGGGGAGAAGGGGAAGGGACTTCTGTATTTTGAAAAAAATACAAGGGTCCCGACTCTGGAAGTTTGCATGAAGTCAAACAATATTTATAGTGTTGTGAATAGTCGTGTAGATAAGCTGAAGGGAGAGAGGCTCTGGGGGAAGAACAGATCATTCAAGCTTATTATTCCACACTTGAGCAGTTGCACTGAATGATGAGGTCCACAGGATGGCCTTGGTGTTGTGACTGAAGTGCAGTGTGGCCCTGAAGATCATTGCCACTGAGTAAATAGGAGCCATGGGCTAGACTGTGGAACAGTGGGCACATAGACGTTGAAACTTTCCCACGTAAGGGTGGATTTAGCATGTGGAAGGACCCTGTGAAGGTGAATGGTATAGTCAGTGAATGACAGCAACAAACTGAAAGGATTGCATAGATTGATGGCATGAGTGTTGATAGAATGGTTGATGGTATTATAGTTTGGAATGTAGATGGGGGAGCCTCAATTATATTAGTATTTCTTTGCAGAATGTAGAGTGTGGGCAAAAAGGATTTTAAAAAGATTTAGTCTGGAAGAAGTGTTCTCATGGGAGTTTTACTAGTTTTCTATGGCTATTGTAACAAATTAACAAAAATATAGTACCTGAAAACAATATAATTTTTAAAAAATTTCATCGTTCTGTAGGTAAGAAGTCTGAAATGAGTCTCAGCGGGCTAAAATTAAGGTATCAACAGAGTTGCATTCCTTCTGGAGCATCTAGGGCAGGGATGTCAGACTCATTTTCACCAGGGACCACATCCTCCTCATGGCCTTCAAAGGTGGCTTCAACGATGTCTCCATCTTTGCATTACTTGACTCCAGGAGTGTTATTAGAACATGTTCTGTATGGATGAGCTGACTGTGCCCTCTGATGGTCTGGACCTTTCTTTTCTTTGCTCAGAAAGATAATGGTGCTTTGCTAAAGCAGGAATGTTCCCATAGTTCATCTTTTTAAAATCATTTCTGGACTGAAAAATTGGAAACTGTAGAACACATGCAGCTTTAGCATTATTGAGGTATAATTGACAAATAAAATTTGTGAGATATTTAAAATGTACCTCATGATTTTATATATATATATGGAGAACATATATTTTAAAAATAAAATGATAGATATACCTATCATTTAAGCTACTTAAATATGTTCAGGCAGAAATTTAATTTATTAGTTTAAATATTTTTTTGAGATAGTTTTAGCCATTAATCAAATAAATGAGAAATAGAGACTTGAACTCTCTGGAGGTAGGTGGAAAATGTTCTGTCACAGTATGTCTAAGTTTGGACCTGAGGCATACATCTCTGAGGATGTGTAAGTGTTCAATATTTAATGCTGTGTATTCTCAGCATCAAAGATGAGGCTTCATAAAAATGTGTGTCTTTTTACAGACTCAGACTTATGTTTTTTATATTATGCAGAATTGTGCCTCATACATAACTAAAAGACCCAGGATTATTCTGGGTTTCACTTATGGTTGTCAAAATGTTAGGGTGGTAGGCATCATGAATACAGTTTCCTGTCGATTCCACCCATTTCCTCCCAAGTTGAAGACACTGAAGTGTGGAATTGCTACTTCCGACATGTGCTGAAATTCACAAATCTACACAGCCTCAGCATCCTAGCTTAGGTTTTATATTTATAAAAACCTGTGACTTTGCTAAGACATCCTGACTTTATTTATTTCATCAAACTCCATAGTTCTTCAAAATCTGAGATGTTCTTCATCTTAGAATTCTCACAGTTTGCATTTACTATTTCACCCACTTGACAGTTTAAATTTAAATAAATGTGTTGTACTTGAGTAAACAAGCACTGTGCTTGTTTTTCTTGTGTGACTTCAATTTTAGGGTTTAAGGTGTCTAATTTTATCCATTAGATGAATTAACTTTATCAGTCATTAGTGATAAAATGTTAATTATCACAGAATTTTGAAGCTATAGAAAGTTTTAATTTAAGAAAGCAGTTCTACCAAGAGAGCAGATTTTAAAAGTAACCATCACAGAAAAAAAATGTTTTGTTACTATGCATGGTGATGAATGTTAACTAGCCTTATTGCAGTGATAATTTTGTAACATATATTGAATCATGATGTTTTACACCTGAAACCAATGTTATATGTCAATTAAAAAATAAACTAAAAATTAGAAGAAAATAAAAAATCAAACTGTACAAGAGTGTACAGTAAAAAGTAAATACCCACTACCCCCTGCCAAAAAAAAATAGCAGTTCAGTATCTCTCTTCAACAGCTTTATATCCAACATTTGGACTTTTGACTGTAATAAAAAAATGTATAGTATGCATAACTTACATATTTTTCCAAAATTTTGTGAAGTGACAGTGACTAAAAGGACAAGCAATAGCCATGTCCATAGACTTGCTCGCTTTGCATATTTAGACAAAACCCCTTCCGCATGGGTGTTATAGTAGGAAAGACCAGCAGTTATAACTCACTGCAACAAACTTTTTCTTGTTGTGTCATTGCAAACTTTTTATCCATGGAAAGTGAACACAAAAGTGTCTCAAATGATTTATTGGGATCCTTACTTTCTACTAATTTGTGTAAAGAATCTAAATAGATAACACATCTTTTGGCTTAAAATACCAGTTCAGTCACATTCTGCGTCAGGAGGGCCCATTTGTTCTGAAGGCTACAGTTCTATCCCAAGGATACAAGTGGAGGGTTTATGGGGACAGGTGAACTCTGCATTTCCCAGAAGGGTTTTGGTAAAGGAGAATCAGAATGGTGATTTTATCACAAAGAGAAAGAGGGAAGTGTGCCAAAGAAGAGTGACAACATAGGGCCAGAAAAGACAAAGTGGAGTAACTGGAGTGGTTAGGAGAATCAAGATCAGTTTCTAGGGAAATGCATGTAATTCCCAGAGGTTACTCAGGACTCCGAGAATTTTTATAGGCTCAGGATTCATGGATGGGCAGGGCTACTCATATATGCCATGGTGAGCGGGATCGGCAATATTCTATTACAAAGTGCAATTGACCCTTGAACAACCTAGGCTTGAACTGCATGGGCCCAACTATACATGTAATTTTTTTAATCAAGCATCAACTGTCATTTTGATCTGTAGTCAGGAATCTGTGGGTACAGAGGGCTGACTATTGTTATATGCAGATTTTCAACTGCATGGAGGTAGGTGCTCCAACCCTTGTCATGTTTGCAAGTCATGTGTAATTTTTTCTCTAAGACTTTCAATATTAAATTTTGTCACTTTTCCAAGCTAACTTTCTTTTATTCAAATTATTTATAGCATAATGAATGGAGATTATTTGTACAGTGTATGCTAATGAAAATTTTGAAATCTGAGAACACTCCAAGAAAATTTCTGTGGTTATGTGCTTGCAATAGGAACTAATAAAGTAGCAGTTTTTCATGGGAATATTTATTTAAGTGTCTCATTTGGGTAAGGCCAGACTGAAATGTTGTGCATAGTATGACATTTATATATACATGTATATTTAAGTAATCATACAGTAATTTCTAACTTATTAAATATTAGATATTTATACAAAGAATATGTCATGAAAAATAAAAATGATTGGAAATAAATATTTCAGATTGTTGATGGAAATTTTATTATTTTTTTACAGACTATTTTTAAAAAATCAATAATGATCTCATGGAATAAAGTTCCATTTCCATGTGTATCCTTAAATCTTCTTTTTTGGTAACCTTTATTTTTTTAGCAGGTTTTCATTTTTTTGGAACATTTAACTGACACATCTCAGAATAACTAATACTGTTGGACCAAGTGATAAAAACTGCTAATTTCATTCATTTCATCACCTGCATACTCTTTAGGAGGAGTGAGAAAACCCATGTGGGCCTACAAAACCCATGCATTTATTTATAAAACCCAGTTTGTTCCTACATAACTTGATGTTACTACTCAGTGCCTTATTTAGAGTGCCTGTTTTGTCAATAATTAAAGTTGGTACCTACATAATGGTATATTTGGTTTTCTTTCAGGATCCCCTGTTTCAACTGGAATCACACAGGACTGAGAGAGGAAGGGGCAGGTGTCCTTTTGATCCCAACTCCTCCTTCATCTCAACGTTGATTGGTAATTATTGCTGCTGCACTCATCAGTTGGTGGTCATATTGGTTTTGAAACTTCAGTTATATTATTCCTTTGGTATTTCTTTATATATGTTGCCTTGTCATACCTGTCTGTGCTGGGAGCAATGATACTAAGTTTCAAGCCATGCTCACTTGAGCCGATTTGACTATGAAGTTAGTGCAATTGTTACTAAGTATGTGTGTCTCATTCTGAAAACACAATTTGCCACTTAATACCTGATACGAGGAATTTTGTATTGTACCACTTATTGTCAAAAATTCAACTATATGAAATTTTGTAAAAATTTAGCTAGAGACACTAAACTATTTTAGCATGCATCAATTTTTTATATTTTAGTTATTCTATGGTTTTAGGGGAACTTTTAATACTCTCATCTCGGTGCCTTTCTCTGTACCAGTAGAATTCAAAAGATAGTCATCCTAATTGAAAACTTCAAAGTTACTTATGTAAATTTCTGTTAATCTAGAATATAAACTATAGAAGCCAGTCAGCTCCAATGACCACTAAATGTCCACATTAGAATAATGGAATAAGCTGGCCACGTTCTGTAGATTTCAGTTTGATTCAGTTTAATCAGATGACGTACCCAAGAACCTTACTTAAGTCAGAGCAAAATACTTTTTCTTCTCTTTCACACTATTTGAGTTTTAAAGCAGCACATTTGTTAAAGGGCTCTGCCCTTTTGATGGTACAGCTGGCTGGATGAGTTTCCAGGTGTAAAACTGAAGAGGGTGACCCCTGACACTTGTCAGAGGTGCTATGAGGAATCATCCTGTGTTCTCAGTGTCGGGAGGCTCTGATATAGGAATCGCATGATGTACAAATTTCTCTTCAGTTTGCAACACGCAGCATCAGGCCAGCCTGTTTACAGAAAATGAGGATGTGTAAACCACATGTAGAGACTTCCTATATTAAATAAGTGGTAAAACGTAAAACTCCCCATTGATGCTTCATCGAAATATCTTATCCTTGATTTGATGGCATCCACGGAGCCAATGTGGATGTTTCCATATAGTCTGGAGACTACATGCTCACTGAACTTATTCAGACACTTGGTTCTGATGGGCTTCGCATCTCATGTCCTACACTCCCCCATCTCACTCTACAGATATGTACATTTGTAGAGCAAAATCTTGTTAGCTTTAATTAATAGGGAAAAGTTTATTTACTTCAACTTCACAAGATGAGAACTTCACATAGTCATTAAGTTCTTTAAGGGCTTGAATACAAAGAGGTAATATTTTCAGGAATATAACATTGTCAAGAAAATATTTTAAAGATATATTGAGTTTCCATGTGTGTGTGTGCATGTGTGTGTAAAGACAGAATAGTAAGGAAGGGAGGTTTTTAATATTGGGGATAGTGTTGTCTAAGTCTATTTAGACTTTGTAGGAATCAAAAACCTTAGGAATGAAATTGCCAGATTCATAACTATTAGAAATTCTTATAGATTGGCAGCATGATATGCATGCATTTGATGGACTCATATGTGTTTTCCTAATGCTTGATTGATTTTTAGCGGCAAATATTTAGAATTGCGATGTGTCTGAAAGAGACTTTCTTATCACCTTTCTTTTACCGTACAATACCTTGGGCAGAAAAGGCCTCCTATAAATATTGACTGAATGGAACACCCACTAGGGTTTCTGAATAAGCGAACAAACAAAACAAATTTAGGGGTAGTACAAATAATGTTGAAAGTCAGAAATTACACAGTAACTTTATAGTGAACTTCTAAAAAGATTAGGGCATCATTTATTTTAAACAATTTACTTAAATTGTTGGAAGTAGTTTCCTTTGCCATCCTGCCACTCACGACTCAGGCTCCCTTGGAGCTTGTTTATGCATGAAGCTAGAAATGTAAAACTGAATTTTTTAAGAGGGCAAATATTACTGGAGGGATATTTCCAAGTGAGTTTCATTGAACTTCCAAATCAAATTACACTCTGCTGAAATGCGAAGTGCTTGCCATCTGGGTGGCTGTTTCGCTTATTCAGAAAAGAAATCAAATCATAAGGTCCCTCCAAGCTAAACACAGAAGTTATAGAATAATTCCTCCAAAGAGAAGAAATAAAAATATAATTCTTCACATTTATCCACTAGCTTTCATCCCAAAGTACCTTTGAGAGATCATTCATTCACTGTGGAAATGCAGCAGCCACTGGGATGGAAACCTGATAACCTATGTCAGCCAGCAGCTCTTTAATGGAAAGGAAGTAGAAATAACTTACCCAATTGAAAGAGCAGCAGGAATTTGGGCTGGAAAAATGGAGCTACCTGAGCTGGAATTTGGCAAGCTCCATGTAGCTTACTCTGACAGGGAAAGAATGCATTAATGTGGTATTTTTCTGACCACACATGTTCACTGCGGATAGGATGGGGCAAGACTCCAGCAAAAAAAAATGACCATCTTTAGAACATTGCTCCTTCTTTGTTTCTTTGTTAATCACCACTCACACTTAACATTTAATGCCTGCTCATTAACATGCACTTTCACGGTAGGAAAAACACTTGATTTCATAACAAAACTCATAAAGCTAACAAGGCTCTCAAAGAAAAAAAATCTGCCCACAAATGACAGGCTTTCTTAAAATTTCTTTACTTTAGATATAGTTTTTATTTCACTTACCTTAAATTAAGTTGATGTGGAATAAAAGCTTACTGTGAAATTGAATAAAAGAATGAAGATTATTTGCTAGATGGAACACGAGTTAATACATTTTTAAAACTTTTAATTTACTTATAAAATATTAATAACTTGTAATGGTTCTATGTGAAACAAAGGGTAAAATGAGCTCCTTATTGAGCTATTTTCTGTATGTTCAGAAACCAATCAAAAGGAAATTATCTATTAATTACACTTACTCTTCAAAAGTCATTTGGAAAAGGGGAAGGGTTTACAGGAACAAGTATAAAGGACACATGGACAAAAACTAAGGGGGGCGGAAATGGGAGGGAGGGGGGAGAGTTGGGTGGGTGAGCTGGGATGGGAGTAAAAGACAGACAACTGTACTCAAACAACAATTAAAATAAAAAATTTAAAGTCATTTGGTATTAACATACTTTATATTGGTGGCATATAAATTCATATCTCAAGGGTAATATTTCTACATGTTTAGCCACATTTACTAACATCATAATTAAGTAGTTTTAAGTATACAAGACTTTATAACCTGGTTTTTAAAAGTTTGTTGAAACAATGCATATTTAGTAAATGAATTGCTACATTACTTGCCCACATTTTTCAGTTCATCCAGAAATATGAGGCAATTAACTTGCCACTAAATTGGTAGGTTTGGTGACTAGTTGAATAAAAATTCAGGACATATTTTCTGTATACTATATATTATTGTGTCCAAAAGGAAAAAATAATAGTTGACTGTTTTTATCAGTTACATATGATGTATTATTGCATTATTCTCCTTATTAAGTTGATAACGCCTTCAGTAACTTTAGGATTTCCCTTATAATTTGCCTTCTCATTTCTGTTGCCTTTTTTTTTTTTAGAACTTTTCATTCTGCGCCAGATTTGTATTATCAGTTCCAGGTGTGAGTTAATACCTACCATACCTGAAGAGCCTACAATATACTAACATTTATGTTACACAATATATATTACTTGTTACTAGTTTTAGGGGAGCAACGCTCTAATTTGTCATGTTCTTTTTATTGCTTTGCTTTGAAAGTGTGAGCTTTGTTGTTGGGATATTTTTAGGATACTTCTTAGGATTTCAGCAAATAACCACAAATGTTTTACAGTCACTCAAATTTTATTTTTATGCTTTTTTTATCCTATGTTCCTATTCCTAGGAAATAAAGTTACAAAAGTTTACAGCCACTGAAAATTTTTTCTGCACTTTCATCCATAATAATGAGACTTTTGTGACTATATCTCCTCATTACAAATTCTTTGAATTAAAGGTCAATGTTGATTGAATGAAAGGGAGTTGGAATACATGTAAGAATAATTTAAGTGATTATTTCAAGCTCCTAATAACATTAAACCCTTTTAAGATGAAGAAACATTTCTTTTAAATTGATTCAGAGAAGAATTATAAATGAATAGTTTTCTCACAAAATAGGACTTGATAATATTGAAAAATGAATGAAAAGGTTTAAATGAAGGTAAAATATGGCTTCATTATCACAGTCTCTATAAATGTAACAAGTGAATGTGCTAGCCCATTTTTTAAATTCATCCCAACTGTGTTAAAACTGAAACAAAGTTATTTTCTTATCACGTTTCTGTCCCTTAAGAATATCTGTACTTTCTTACTCCAGCCTGGTGCTCTCACATTGGGCTGAAGGCCAGGTATCCACATGCTTACTGTTGCTTCTGGCCAGTAAGTAAACTGCTAGTCTCCAAGGAGCTGTTTGAATTTTTTGCTTACACTTTCTTCAAAACAAACAAAACAAAATCAAAGTTAGAAGGGAAAAATTTCTACTCTTCAATTCCCCATTTACCTTCTCTCCCTTAGGAATCTGATTTGACCGCGTCACCATCAATGTAGCACTGGTTTGCCACCAGGAAAACTCAGAGAACCTCCCTGGGTGCCTTCAGGTGCAAATGAACAGGCTTGGAACATTTTCCTTCTTCCTTCAGGCCTCAGAAACCACCTTCCTAACGCTGGTAGCTAATGCTGGCTATCTACCAAAACAAAACAAACGAAAAGCCCCGACAACAACTACGTAACTATAAGCCAGACAAAAACACATTCTTTCCAGTTTCTTCAGCATTCTAAGCAAAATGTGAGGGTGAACTGGGATGACGAATTTTATGGATCATTTTCATCCATCTTTATATTCTCCAGTGCATTTTGTTTCTTTTTGCAGTTACGCATGTCACAGTCATTCTACATAATAGTGCATCGAAAGTAGAATAATTCTCACAAAATTATGTAGGTTAGTCATGAAATGACGCAGTTAAATCAGTCTTTAACTATGTGCTTTCCATGAGGCAAATGTATTCCACATTAGATTTGGAGACACAGCATAAATAAGAGAAACGCTTAAGTAAACCATAAAAAGATAAGAAAGGCATGAAAAAGTAATGTGACTTTTTCTCACTAAACAACTGAGATCTATGTTTTCAATATGGTGAATAAAACCTCCAATTGATTAATTAAAAAGTATATGAATGTAACTCAGTAAATCCCCCCCAAAAAATTAAGGCAATACAATACTTTTAACTAGAACTTAGAGTTTGTATTATAAAAAAGGAGTTATGTACAAAAATATTTTAATGATGCATTTTAACTTAGATTTATTTACAGTAGAATTGTTTTTGTATATCACCAGGAGTCAAATGACTGTATAACTTTCCTATAAACAATTTAGTGTAAACAATGTTTTGGGGTCTGAAAGTAATTGGAAACAAATAGTAGAAGAAAACGGAATCCCTATGTTCATGAATTAATATAATTGAATAACAAGTCTTCTTGAGGCGCAAAAAAAAAACCTCTGTTAACTCATTTAAATCTCCAAGAGTTTTTCTTTTTTGTGATATTTCCCCATGAAGCAGTTTTTAAAAAACCAGAATCTCATCCAGAGTCTTCATATTGTATTTCATAGCTTTTTAACGTAAACACCTAACAGAGTTTTAGATATATTCATTTATTAATTCATTATGCCATTCATTGATTCAACAAATATTTATTGAACAGTTTTTTGTATTCCAGACACAGTATAAGGTACTGGAGACAAAAAATATATAAGACACACGAAGAAATCTGCATTCTAGTGAGGCATAATGTCAAACATATAAGGAGTTAAATAACATACAGTAGGATGAACAATATGATAGAATAGGCAGGGGTACTATGGTGGTACCACAAAACTACCAGAAGTTTTGTCATGGAAAGATTCATGGAGAAAGTGAGCAATAGCCAGGTAAATGGGGAAGTAAGTGAATAAATCCAGGCAAAAAAAAAAAGAAGGGACAGCAGAGAGACCATAAAAGCTTAGCAGGCTTAAGCAATCACTTGTAGGTCTCTCTAATTCTACAGATACCGAGACCATTGGATATTGAATGGTCTTGCCAAGGTCAAACAACAGATTTCAAGCTGGAGACTTGGTTTGCAAGACTTCCAATGCAGAACTATTCCCAGAATTCTCATATCTGTACATAGAGACGATTGTTGAGCATGACAATGATAAGTTACATTCACCTGTCAAAATACCCTGCAGATGTGTTTTACTTTTTAAGTATAACCACACCTGACCATTTAAAATTAACATCACTTACCAACAGAAGTCAGTACTCTAACAATGAAAAATAATACTTGGCATACAAATCAAATATCAAAATAGTTGTTATTATCCTAGTTGTTGACTAAACTAATAGTTATGAAATATCATGTCTCCATAGACATAGGAAAAGAAAGACTAGGGTAGTTCTGTTCTTATCATTGAAACTGTAAAACATATCTTACTATGTATATGAAACTTTTTATTTTTAATTCATGAAAATATGATTTATTCAGATGTTAATTTTGCTATCTGTAAAATACCAAAATATTGATTTACAGATTTTCTTTAACTATATCAAATAGTTATAGTTTCAAAGTAAAGTTTTTAACTGTAAACTACATATTTACTATAAATAGCATCAATTACTATAATGATGGTGAGTACCTTTGTTCATTTAATTACTATTTGGTAACATTTGTTCCTAAAGCTTTACTCTGATTTATTATTTTTCATTACAGTGAAATACTTAGGGAAGTATTTTACCAAACATCATTATTATCTGTTACTATGAATTTACCAAATGAGATACACCAGCCAGGGAAATAAATCATCTTTTTTTCCTTTGTGCAGAAAACCTGCCTAGAATATAGTATTATTTGTGTCACAGGGTTGCCATCTAGTGGCTTCTAGAGGTACTTGTTTGTTAACTTGATAGAATTGATTAAAATAAGTGGAACTTTGAAACAGGCTGGGAAGGGAAAAATAGCCAAAAAACTGTACTTGAAAAATAACTAAATAAAATTAATTTTAAAAAAATAAAATAATCTTGTTGAAAAAAAAAGAAACATTGTCCCACATTGGGCTCAGGAGAATAAAATTAATATAATATAAAGTAATATAAAGATGACTTTATATATAGTGAAGTAATATAAAGATTAGCTTCTCATAAGAATAATTTCAGATATGAAAGTTCTAGAAATATTTTAGAAAATGAAATCGAATATTAAAAACTTACAAAATAAAAAATTGTCATGACATTTAAGAAATCAGTATTTTGTCCAATGTATGCATAAATATTCAGCCCAGACAACATTAGAAAAATAAGTCACATTAAAAAAAATCTAAATAATAGACTTTATATTTTTGGATGGGAAATATAATCAAGTATAATAATTTAAAATACCTCAGAAAATTACTCATTCTGGTCATTCGATAGTAATTAACTCTTTTACGGTCAGCTTTTTCATAACATAAAGACAGTGGTCCCCAGGCCTTATGATGAATTCAGCACGATTCTCTGTGATACCGGTGCAAGGAGTGAGTCCCACATGTGGTTCGTGCCCCTCACCACCGAATGCATTTTATCTCAAAATGCTCTTTCTTCACTTTTGAGTTTAAAAATCTCTGATGAGGACAGCATTGTTGACTTTGATGTATATTATGTTACTTTCTTCCCCCTTCTATCACCAAAGGCCATGTTTAAATAAGAGTTTGATATAACTTTCTCTACCAAGTTACATTTCCTTAGGTCCAGATGTAGAGCATCTTTGTTTTATGGTTTCTGTTACTTGTCTTATCACACCTCTCACTTAGCATACAGGATGAACTCAATGAATATAGTTCTTTTTCAAACTTGTTATCTTGAAAAATTTTAAATACAAGGAATTGAAAGAGGAGTAAAATTTATACCTGTATGCCCTTAACCTCTGATGCACAAATTGTTAATATTTTATCCCAGTTGCTTCTTTCTCAGTCTTTTATAATATGTATAGTTTGAGTGAATTTCTTTGTGGAAAACTTGTATCTATGTTATATCCTATATAGTTTTTAAGAATTCATAGTAAATTTTGAAAACAGGAAAAATAATTTACAGTTATTTGGCTTTCTATAAATAAAAAATTTATAATTAAATTTCTAAACTCTTATTTATCTTGAACCTTTGAATTCAGTTTCTACTTTATTATTCCTTTTCTAAATCTGGCATAACATAAACAATCATCTTTACTTTTTAAAAATTAAATCAGTTAACTAAACTTGAAAATAAACTTCCTTACACAGTGTCCCATTTACAACACAGGTGATTTCTTTCTCAAAACTGAAAACATAAAAATATATTTAATCTAAGTTTTTAAAAGTTTTAAAGGCCTCATCTGAGAAAAACCTTCATAGATATCGAAATAGTTTGTAAATTCTACATAATAAAATTTATAACTATGACACTGATCTTTTAAATTCTGTTTATATGCTTCATCAAATTTGTCTGTCTATACCTTTAATAATTCAAATTCTAAAATTAAGTATGCAGTTAAAATATGTGATTTTGGAAGCACGGTTTGTTTTGAATGCTCTCAAACTTCAACACATTAAATACTGCATGTGCACCTTCCAATTTTAACAGAAAAACATTAATACTTTGGGTTTGGCGTGGTCATCATCTCTGTTTGTAAACCTGACCAGAGTTATAGGACACTCGTTAAGAAAATAATCTTACCTTCCTAAATTGAGGTTGCTTTTTCCAGTGATTTTTTTTTTAACCACAGATTGTGCACTGGACAGGACCGGGAGGCTGCGGAGGCCCAGAACAACCCCTGTGGCATCACCAATGGGCGTACTGCCTGTCTTTTGTCACTTTGACAAAAGAGGACGCCAAGTCCCTGTGCTTGGGAGGCATTGGTCTTTCTGGGCTCTCAGTTATATAGCCTTATGTGATTTTTCTGTTGAAAAACTTTATCTTTCTTTCCTTCTAATGTCTTTCTTTCTGGCTGGCTCCACACACATTGTCATTTCTTGAGACGCAGCATTCATTTTTGCGCTCCTCAGTCTGATTTAAGTCTGCCTTCTCCACCACGTGTGGGAGCTAACTCCATTTATTATACTGACTGCCAGAGTAAATTATGAACTCCATAGCTTTCCTATGTAAGCAACAAGTTTACAAATTAAATGGCAACTAGTTGGATTTACACAACTTCGTCAGACTTTGTGGATTCCACACTAAAGTCATGTTGATGGAAGCCATTTCTTGTTACAGAAAAGAATTTAGTTAGCTGACTCATATACCAATAAATAATAATACCCTAAAGATAAGATTTTTTAAAGTTTAATAAAATAAGATTAAACCAGGTTATTTATCAAACGCTCATGTAAGTCTTAGCATGTGCCAGCTACTCTTTTAAGTTCTTTACCTTTTGTGCGCTATTCCTATTAATAAATAAGGAAACTGAGAGGTTAAACAATTTGCCCCGATTCATGTAGCTGGTATGTAGCAGAGTCAGGATTGAAACTGGCAGTCTGACGATACCCTGTGTGCCCTTAAAAATAATATTAATTTCATAAGGTTGTATTTATCGTAAACCTAGATGTGGCTTAATGGGGATGTGGTTTATACAGTCTTCAGATCCAGAAGCCAGCACTGACTTCTATTTAACTGACGTTTCCATTAGGCACCGAGCTGTTTGCTGGCCTCTACAGTGACTACTGGGGCAGGGACGCGGCGGTGTTCCGGAGCATGGGGCGGCTGGCCCACATCCGCACCGAGCATGATGACGAGCGCCTGTTGAAAGGTAGGACTGAGGAGGAAAGAGCACGTAAATCAGAATCGAATGTAAATCTAGAATTCATGAGGAATTTGCCATTTCAGGGATAATAACTACAAGTGAAATATATATTTTTACAAATTTTAGGATTTTAAAAGTTAGTAATATTTTTTAATTAAAATATTATATATGTGTATATCATTTTATATCAGAATGATTTGGCTTTATTATAATGCCAAATTATAATTACAGCAATGATTAGAAATAAATATTCAGACCTGGCTGGTGTAGCTCAGTGGATTGAGTGCTGCGAACCAAAGGGCTGCTGGTTCAATGCCCAGTCAGGGCACATGCCTGGTTTGCTGGCCAGGTAACCACACATTGATATTTCTTTCCCTCTCTTTCTTCCTCCCTTCCTTGTCTCTAAAAATACATAAAATCTTTTTTAAAAAGGAATTGGGGTTCATATGGAGAAAGCAGAGCAAATGCATGAAAAGTAAAAATCCCTTTCATCCAATAAGTTGTTACATCATTTGGCATCATTTTGGATGAAATGATTGTTTTGCTCATTTTAATAGGATCACATTGCACTTTAGAGACAAATAAAATGCTAGGAAAATCACTAGCCACTCCTTGACATAGAATTCTTTGTAAGGAATTATTTATATGTGTTGGCACAGTGGGACATCTTCAGACTAAAACATCATTTCATGATGAGTGTTGCCATTATTCTCAGCCTTTTTATTAAGCTTTAAAGTGCACAGTTATTATTGACAGTGTGTCATTATTAAAATATTTCACCTTCCATATCAGTCAAAGTTTATTCCCTGAGAGCCTTTAGACTACAGACACAAAAACTAAAATTTTGTATTTTTAAATGAAAATGGTCTCTCATGAACTAGACTACTGTATAATTTATGAATTTAAAAATAGATTTCTTTACTAAAATATTTTGCATCTATTTACACTGACCTTTTTAAATGTATGGGAAGGAATTATTTATGGAGATTACCATTATGGTATGTCTAATGTGTCTTTCTATGAATGCTTTTTGAGTCTATAAAACATGGTGTTCAAAAATTTTTTCACCTTGACTATTATTTTCCAATTAAATTGTCCTCTGGTATTTCAAAGAAAACTTGTTTATCGTAAATGAAATGAAGATAGCGACATGATTTTTAACATTTAGTGTAAAATTTCAAAGAAAATAATTCTTCATAAAGAATAAAAATTAAACTAAATCTTTCATGGGATGTATAATTGATTTAAATAACTTACTATTTTTGTCATAATAGCTACTTTAATTTCCTTCTTTTTTTCCTTCTGTAGAACCAAAATTTGTAGGTTCATATATGATCGCTGACAACGAAGACCGAGATGACAACAAAGTGTATTTCTTTTTTACCGAGAAGGCCCTGGAGGCAGAAAACAATGCCCACGCCATTTACAGCAGAGTGGGGCGACTTTGCTTGGTGAGAAATGCGTTTCTCCCTCATTAAGCTTCCTTATATGATGATCTATGGTCAGGCCTTTGTTAATATTAGAGTAGGTTTTCACTTTATAAAATATTTGCCACTATTCTGTACAGTGTCTAAAATTTGTATTTACTCATCTTTATACTTGATATTCATTGAAAGTTTTCTCTTAGGGGAGCTTTGCATTTTGTATGATTTCCCCATTTTTAAAGCCATACTAAAGAAATAGAGTATTAATAAGTTGTTCTTCTTCCCTCACAGAAGTTTGAGCTCCATTTAAAAAAATTAACTTAAGCAATTTTTTTTAGTTTCTTTAGTCTACATTGTAAGTATTATAATTTACATAACTGTGTTTCAACAATGCAGTTGGCTGATTCAGTAGAAAAAAATGCATCTATAGTTTTTTGGGTGTTCAGATGGGTTGTTTGAGAGCTTTTAAAATCAACTGAAGCCCTGGCTGGTGTAGCTCAGTGGATTGAGCACGGGCCTGCGAACCAGACAATCACGGTTTGATTCCCAGTCAGGGTACATACTGGGGTTGCAGGCCGGTTCCCTGCAGGCCAGTTCCCAGCAGGGGACGCACAAAAGGCAACCACACATTGATGTTTCTCTCCCTCTCTCCTTCCCTTCCCCTCTAAAGATAAATAAATAAAATCTTAAAAAAAAATCAACTGAAGTAGCAATATATATTGAGAGAATGCTAATAATATAACAAGTGTAAAGATACTCTGATATTTAGGATATTTAATGAGTACATTTCAGAAGAAAGTTGTATATATGTCACTGTATACATATAGTATGTGTATGTGTGTACAAATATACATTACATGTTTTATGTGTGTTTGTGTTTATATATGTATATTTGAAGTTCTTTTTTCTAAAAGAAGAAAAACAAAAGTATGTTGGGATATTTTTGAGGTAAACAGTTTATTAATAAAATAATAAAGGTCACTGTATTATAAAAGTGACCACTACTTTATGTAGAAGAAGTTGCTCTATGAACATTTTTGAATACTCATAAAGTATATGTAATGGACCAGAGTGAAGTACGCTGTCCAGGTAGAATGTGTAAACCAAAAAACAAAATTATGATGAATTACATCTGTTATTATTTGAAATTTGTGCTAAATTTTCCATATTAAATGAAAAATGTGCATGTTTAATGACACAAAATTAGTTGTTGGTAAAAGTTCTGTAAGTGCCCACTGACCTACTCTTCGGTTTTCACAGAACGACGCAGGGGGGCAGAGAATACTGGTGAATAAGTGGAGCACTTTCCTGAAAGCGAGGCTGGTTTGCTCGGTACCAGGACTGAATGGAATTGATACATATTTTGATGAATTAGGTAAATATTGGGAGAATTAAATTTTACTCTTTGATGTAGATGCCACTCTATAACCCTCACCGTCTCTAGCACATGTGGAAAACTTGCTTTCTGCAGTGTTTGACTTCCAACTTGGAGCAGGTTTCTGTTCTCCCCTTGTGGCAAGGTCCACAGTGGTGGGCAAAGGAGTTACAGGAACAGAAAGAGACCTCAGTAGCTTAGTCAGCACTTAGTCCTTCCTTGAGGCTCAGCTCAAAGCCATGCTGAACAGCCAAGTGTTTCACTCTGTTGTGACTTACTCATAGTTATATGACTGCATGTGAAAATGTGTTTAATGAGTTCTAAACTATTTTGCCAACATATTTTCTTTACATGCAAAGAGAACTAAAAAGACTAAGCAATGTAATGGTCCTTAATTTTTCAGAGGACGTTTTCTTGGTGCACACCAGAGACCACAAGAACCCAGTGATATTTGGACTATTTAACACTACCAGGTGAGAAATTGTATGGTCAATAATATATTGTGGAACAACATATGCCTTCCCCTTCACTGTGTATCTTTCTTGGGAATACTATTGCCCTGCTCTTTCTCATTTTTGTGTTTCGTAAGTCACCAATTTCTCTTTGTTCTACTATATCTACCATTGTTCTTTCATTTTTAAAGTTACGATCTCAATCTAGATCTTTATTTGCTTTTGTTGGAAGTATTCCAGCATCCTCCTATGCTGATGGTTTCCTTCGCTCTCTGATCTGCAACAGAATGATTTTTTTTTTGCCATATAGTTTATAAGATAGTAGTTCCATGCTATAAGGATGGAACTACTTTTAGGATAAGTTTTTTACTGAGATCTATGTGGGTTAATAACATTATATAAGTTTCTGGTATAAAACATTATAATTCAATATCTGTATACATTACAGTGTATTCCACAACAAAAGTCTAATTTCCATCCATCACCATGTATTTGACCCCCTTTACCCAGTTTTCCCTCCCCGACTCCTTTTCCCCTGGTAACCACCAATCTGTTGTCTGTACCTACGGGTTTTTTTGGGTTCTGTTTGTTCATTTGTTTCTTTTTTGTTTTATATTCCACATGAGTGAAATCATATGGTTTTTCTCCTTTTCTGTCTGACTTCTGTGTGAATTTAACTCCAATGAGAAGGAAATAACTAGGATAATTCTTGTCATAGAAAACTGTCGTGGAAAATTTTCCAAGTCAGACTCTCAGAGCTATAAACCAATACCCACTCTGCTTTTGAAATACTTCCTATAAGGTCTCTGAAGTTCACTTTTGACAGGGTAACACTGTCACCGAATCTCAGTATCTACTTCATTAGGTCCTGTCGCTGCGATTTTGTTTATCTGATGCTTCTCTTGCTTCCAGTAACTTTCTTTTTCAACACTTCTTGTATCAGTTCTTCGGAACTTGTCAGTTTCCATCTTCAAGAAATAGTCCTTTGTTCTTAATCACAAAAGACTTTATTTACCCTTTGTTCTGGTTGTCATATTTCTATGTAGATTTACAGAGAACACCTGTTTGAAATTTGCCTTCCATGTTTAAAATTTACATAAGGTGCTCATATTTAGAATTTATACCTATTATTTTCCCTTTTCTATGTTTTTGTATTTTGTATGCATTGGGAAAATGAATCAGTTTGGTTGAAAGTATATGCGTGTGTGTATATATATAATTTCCCCTGTGTCTTTCCAAATAAGTCAGGGTGGAGAGAGATGATGGGAATGAGAAATGGAAAATATACCTCAGTTCTTGAGAAAGGGATCAAATGGTGTAACTCAGTTCCTCTTTTGCATTGCCTCGGCCTTAAATTGTGATATTATCATGTTTAACTTACTTGCTTAGTGTCTCTCCACAATGCTTTTGTTTAGTTTCCTAGCAGGTGATTTCATATGCTCACTTTGAAAAAAATAATACAGCTCTTTGAATAAGTTTCCTGATATTGTAAGGAGACCTTTTCTTCAACAGAGAAACATGGAAACAATTTTGTTGTCAATTGTTCCTTCACGCAAAGGAAAGTAGTCACTATAGATTGGTAATTATCATAGGCTATAGAAAAACTCTTACCTTTTTTAACCTTATCTTCTCCCTTAGGCCAGTGGAGATCTTATACATCACACAATAATTCTATGGCTTTACGTGATAAATACAATCTATGAGATACTCAGTATAGTTTTCTAAGGGTTAATCAGTTTGTAAGCTACTTTTCTAAATGATAGCATAATGGATCTGTCTAGATTTCAAAGACATTATTTTCTTCCATAATTTCAGTGGTGACTATTCAATATACACATAACAGTTTCCCAGCTGTTTCCTGACGTAAGAGTAGATATCCATAGCATGGTGATCAAAGGTTTATTGCCACTTCAGTTGGGAGACTACCTCTGGTTTTCTCACTATTGCAGGCATTTCCAATTGCTTCAAGGTGTGTTACAGAATGTGTGAACTGATGTTCTAAGACAGCATCGTAACTGCTGTTCTACAGGTGTCTCGGAGTGTAGGAACTTTCATATTCATAAAGAACTTTTCATTTTACAAAGTACTTTCACATTGATTATTTTAATTCGCACAATGAGGGGGCTAGGGAATGTGAGGATCTATTCATTTAGCTCGTGCCACACTAAGAAAAAGGCCAGAGTTTTAAAGCAGATCATTTAAATATGTCAGTTTGTAGAATTTTAATCCATATGCCCCCAGTAAAATATGCCCTAGTTAGTCACCTAATATCTTTATCCTCTGCAAATAGAAATTTTTATCTAAGAAATAATTTTAATTGCTCTTCTGTAGGTAAAGAATCTGGGTTCTATATAATTTAAATTATTTCCCCAAGATTAATCTATTTCCACCCCAGCACCATTTTCAGTGACCTCAAGGAATTAATATACAATAAGCTTCTTAATGTCTACATGACCCCAAGGTAAAGAATGGGACAAACGTGCCAGATTTTCATGAGACTTTAGCTTGCTGTTCACATAATATGCACTGAGAAATCTTAATAAATTTGAATAGAATTTGTAGCAATATTAGCAATATGATGATTAGGAGAACACTGTCTATTTTTCATATAGAATAACATATAAGGAGTTAAAACCTTAAAATGAATAATTCAGCTTGGGAATGAATCTTTTCAAATATTAAACCCATATAAACCCATCCTTAATAAAAAATATAAAAACACAATATAAACTTTAGCAATAATACAGTGAAGTCACACAACTATGTACTTTTTTATTCTGATGATGTCATTTTAAGTTATTATAATTATTAGGTAAATAAATATTAAGTTTGGAAGTTTTAATTTCTGAAACATTACAATAGTTAATATTTCTATAATATCCTGTGCTTAAGGGATCACAACATTTTTACCCAAAAGTTTTCATTCGTACAGGTAGTTTGGAGGGCTTGACTAGGTGACCTCTGAGTGAGTTCTATGACAGTGATCGTCTTTTTTTTTTTGTATTTTTCAGTAATATATTCAGAGGACATGCTATATGTGTCTACCATATGTCTAGCATCCGGGCAGCTTTCAATGGACCCTACGCACATAAGGAAGGACCTGAATACCACTGGTCACTCTATGAAGGGAAAGTGCCCTATCCTCGGCCAGGTTCTGTAAGTTTACGCATTTAACAAAATATTCTTATTTTTAAAGGCTTTTAATAATATCTAGTTCACTGTTTCAGATGCTTTACAAAACTTTGCATTAAACAGTTAAATCCTACATATACAAATATGCTTGCATAGTAAAGAAAAATCACTTCTTCTATCTAGTTACTGCCTGTTTGTTATTTAAATGATCTATGGTGGGTATGTCTTCATGGCATTATGAAGTATGTATTATTACTTTTGGCTATGTAACCCCACCTAAAATTTTATTTTTAAGGATGCTGGTGAGTATAGTAACAATCAATCAAAGGAGCATCATATTCCTCCCAGCCTCTCCAGGAGAGTTAGTGCCACATATAATTTCTGAGCAGGGCACATTTTTATATTCTAATATTTGGGTTCTATGCCAAACAAATATTTGGGTTCTGGGCTAGACTTTCTTCTTGATTCTCATTTTAGCATCTAAAAGCATCTCATTTACCATTCTTGCTGGCTCCTAGAAGTGCCAATACAGAAGCGTTGCTAGGGCACAGGAAGTTCCACCGCCTGATTCTGAACTAGTGCTACCAAGATTTTTCCTCGCCAGCCATTCAAACTTTTATGCTTTTAACTGCACACATATCTAAAAATGATGATGACCATGGTGATGGTGATGACAGTGATGACTTTGGAATCATGCATCCTGTGTGCAACTAAGTTGGAAAAATGTATGATCGTTTTATGAGCTACGTGATCCACAGAGAACAGTTAACTTGTCGTGCAAGTCAAAGTCTACTCTTTATGAGCAGCTGGTGAAAACCCGTCACTATGCTGATTCCACAGGTACTTGCAAGTCAAGTAGAAAATGCTTCTGCAGAGCAGAAATCCAAAGTGGAGACAAACCCTACCTCCATTAACGAGTGTAAGGCTTTACCATTTCAATCACTCCCTCTCACTAGCCTAAAATTATAACTTCCAGTAAGGCATAAAGTATATTTTATTTCACTCTATTGATTGAAATTACAATTTAAATGGAGAAAACTCACTCCTGTGGCTTTGCTGGAAAAGCTTCTTGAAACCACATGGTATTAAAGATTTGGAGGAAGTGACTGGTTACTGAACTGCTTCCAGGCTGGTCCAAAATGTTTCCAATTATATATCATGCAAGTGTACTCATGTGAAAAATTCAGGCCAAATTAAGAAATGCGGCCTCAACTTTTCAAACAAAGCATTAAAAATTCCCTCTTTGCAGAATCTGATTACTAAACTACTGTACTTATACTCTGAAGTGGAAATTTTTAAATCAAGATAACCATTGCAATTGCTGCTGATTCTGGAGAAAAGTATGCAAAATGAGGGAGTGCTTAATGACAAGCATGATTCAACAGTTAAAGGTACTCATTCCAAGAAGCAGCTATGGGGCTGTTGGATATTTATTTTTAGAGACAGCAATTTAAGAGTTGAGACATGTTTTAGCAAATATTTCTGGTTTTCGCAATTTATTCTGTCTAATCCATATAAAAACACTACAAATTCATACAGATTACAGTAGGACAAAGAGGGTTTTTCCTGAAGCAGTAACGGTGAAATTTGAACAGGTTCCCGTATTACAGGACTGAATCCTAGTTAGAGAGCCAGCGGGAACCTTCACCAGCGACCATCATGTCCACAGTGGAAGAGCTGCTTCGTGCTGCTGTGGGGAGGGGCGAAGATGGAGCACAACGAAGAGGCTTTTTGTGCTCCAAACTATGCATTGTTTACCTTCAAGTTTTAGTTTACAATGTAACCAAATGAATTTCAGAAAACAGGGGGAATAATTACAATACTTATGATCTTATACATTTTTACCACCTTCGAGTGGTACCAGTATCAAATATGTTGCACTTTTCCAGGATTTCACTACTTTCTGTGTATTTCTAATGTGTATTTTCACTATTTTCTGTGTATTTCTGTGTGTTTAAAATCATTCAGGATCTCCTTGCAATTTTTAATGTAGATTTCATCTCTGTAATGAAGGAACTAAATGTTTCTAAATGCACAGTTAATCAGTCCAGCATATCCACTTTTCTAATTCTTTAGAAAATGTTTCTAAATGCACAGTTAATGAATCGAGCATATCAAGCACTTTTCTAATTCTTTTCATTATTGGTTTTCAATTTGCTCTTTAGATTTAAGGCAGGAAAAATGACCCCATCTGCTTGTGTTTTAGTGTGCCAGCAAAGTGAATGGAGGGAGGTACGCATCCACCAAAGACTACCCTGATGATGCCGTCCGATTTGCAAGAAGCCATCCACTTATGTACCAGCCCATAAAGCCTGTCCATAAGAAACCAATACTGGTAAAGACAGATGGGAGATACAACCTGAAGCAAATAGCGGTGGACCAAGTAGAAGCAGAGGATGGCCAATATGATGTCTTGTTTATTGGGACAGGTAAAGAGGTTAGAGAGACTCGAGATATTTAAATTGAACCATGTACTCAATAACATTATTGATATTTAAAAAAACTACCTATCAACAAATCTCCTTTTGATATCTTATTACACACTGATGATTTGTTGCACTGGGAGGGAGGTTCTGGGGCAGTTCCAGCACCTAATTTGTAATAGATGGTCAACACTTAACACACTTGAACAAATGAGTAAGTGAAGGAGCAAATGACTGATGTTAATAAGCAATGCTGGTTCCCAGTAGAATTTATCACAGAGGAAGTAAGGTCTGTAGATGGTTCTCCTGCCATACCCCAGGCCATTGCCAACTTTGGCTGCCTAGTAAGGTCTCAAGAATTTTTTAATATCTGGGATGTTAGCTTCACCTAAACTTAAAATCACACATTTATCAGGCTCCATCAGAATCAGTCATTTGTACCAAACAGGCCAAGTGTTACTCATAGTGGACTTAAACATTTAGATCAAAGTTATAATATCTTGCATTACTAAAATAAGGTATAATAAATAAATATGCTAAAAGTGAAAATTTCAAATAAATCTATAATTTCAGTTAATGCCATACTTTAGATCTAGCTTGTAAAAGAGAACTTGGAATGTTTCAGCATCCAGAGTAATACATAGAAAATTTTATCAAGCACTTTCAAATTTTACAGTCACTCAAAATGTTTTTAAATGATTTTTTCTTTCTTTTTTCATATGCATTATAATAATTGCTACAGCAGTTGCTATTTAAAGAGCAAGCATTCTATCATACATAACTTTAATCATAGGCATATAATTCTAAAGAGACATCACGTATGCCCAAATCAGGCATCAGGTTATAATATTAATATTAGTATGTGGGCTTTTGCAGTCATACATTTTGAAAAAGCAAACATTGAAATCAGGAAACATTCATCTGATTTCCAGAAATTGAGCTCTGGTGCAGGCTACATTTTATCTATTTATTTTAGGAGATTAATGTTAATAACGTGCTCTGGACTGTGGGATCGAGATTAACAAAGCATCAGATTTCTTTAACAAACTTAAATTACCTCAGCCATGAATTCAGTCATAATGGCATCAACAGAGTTTTTAAACGGGTTCTATAAACAAGATCATATTTGATAAAGTCAATTGTGGAAAAAAATGTGTTATTTTTAAATGTCCTAGAAAGTAATCCAAAAATATTTTTAGAAATATTTTCTTGTTAGATTAACCAAAGCTATTTGAGAGAATTTCAGGAATATCAGGCATATACTTATGTTATGAAAACCATGTGTAACTCATAATCATATTGTACCACAGCTTTTCAACACAAAAGAATGTATTTGATAAATGTGTGAGGAATACAACATTGGAAAATCCTACAAATGACAGTTACTTTCCTCTGAGTTTACCAGATACATGCTTTAATATTATCTATCTATCTATCTATCTATCTATCTATCTATCTATAGAAGGAGTCCTATTGCAAAATCAGTGGCAAATTAATAATTTGTTTCATCTTTACTTTTTTGCTTGATGTAATAGTAGTTGTAGGATATTTAATGAGTGTGCTTGGTTATAAAAATTTGTCATTGTAACTAACAAGTGCAGAATATCTGGAATAATACAAATTAGGCATGCTTTTAAAGCATGACTGTAAGTGTATAAAATTATTGATAACCATGGAAGCTAAGTGATTAGTACAGGAGCACTCATTACACTCCTCTCTCAACCACGTATCTTGAAATGTCTCTTATTAAAAGTGTGCGTGTGTGTGTGTGTGTGTGTGTGTGTGTGTGTTACCATAGTGTGTTGTTTCCTAGTGTTAAAACTCTATTTTCTTACCTGGAAATGTGCTTTATGTAAAAAATTGTGTTTCATCATACATCACAGAAGAAACTAAAATAATTTGTCTGTTTTCTTCCAAAGATATTTGGACTCCTAACCTTTAATTGGATTTTTGAATCAAGTTATTTAAACAATAATTATGTGTAATTTATGGAGGGTTTTTTGGGGCTAGGCATATAGAGTTATTATTTTTTCTAATTAAAATATAAATATGTAACTAGTATAAGATATTAAATGCATTGTTTTAACCAGCAGTGATTAAATACTTCATGCATCTAGATTTCAAATCTTATTTGAACCCATCATCCCTAAGTGGTTTTGAATTGTTTGAAAACCAGATTGTAACAAAATGTCTAGTTTATCTCTCTCTCTCTTTTTTCTTACAGATAATGGAATTGTGTTGAAAATAATCACCATTTACAACCAAGAAACCGAATCAATGGAGGAAGTAATTCTAGAAGAACTTCAGATATTCAAGGTATTTTTGGTAAAAAAAAAAGTATCTATCTATCTATCTATCTATATATATATATGTATATATATAAATAATATATATATAGCCAGCATTTATGTATTACAGACAATTCCAAGTGAGTTGTGAAAAGGAAAGACATTATGTCAGGGTTTCTTTTTCTAACAGGCATGTTGTGAATTCAGAGTGATTTGAAGTGAGGAATGATTTAAAATCCTGTTGCATTTTTTATTGTCATAGACTGTTCAAATGAAGAGGCCAGTAATTGCCTAGCATGACAAGAATTTCAATATTACATATGAATTCCAGAATCATTATTGCAAAGTTTCCTCTTGTATAAAAGTCTAATAAAAACAGAGCATTAAAATATAACAGTAGGTTTTGTGCTGGAGACACTGTGGGGTGATAAGCAGGTTATAGCATGTCAGTTACACAGGGAATTCACTAAAAAAAGAAAAACTCAATGGAAAAATTAGACATGACAAAAACAATTGTGTATCCTTCTACCCACACGTGCACACAGAGTCAAGTCTCCATACTTGTGGCAGTTTTGTTCTTTAAGAGACCTTGAACACTGAATTGGTAAATGCCGGTCATTGCCCCTGGGAAAAATGGAGGTCAGTTCCTGTGAGTCTCTAGTCACAACTTTTTGCCAGTTGATCAATATATAACCTTGTTTAATGTATGTTTCTGTATAAAGACACATTACTTCATATATGTTGTTGGTCAATTCAGTTCACATTGAACTGGCGGCCAACTCACAGCTCTATGACTCACACCTGAACAAGGCTTATTTAACATGCTTAATTTCTCCATGAGGAATAACACAGCCTTTCAGAGCTTTGGGACCTCCTTATACAGCACTTCTGTACTGTACCTAGGGGCTGTTTTAAACATGAAAATTACCAGCAAAAAGCACAAAAATGTGGAAATTGTGTCATCAAATAAGGCTGTGAAAAGGACACTGGACACATGAGAGCTGAATCAGGACAGCAGCTTGCACGGACCTCAGCCCGGGCTGCGCACACCGGGCACCTCGGACTGCGCCCCTCCGCATGCACCGGTCTCTCAGCAACTGAAAACACCACAGATACTGAGAATGGGGCTACAATGACTTAGCAAGTAGGCAAATCTGCAGACATACAATCTATAAACAATAAAGATTTATTATATATGTATGTAATGAATATATATGAAAATATTCTTATTGATGAGAAACAGTTCATTTTACCTTGTCTGTCATGGAGATTAGATTCCCCCCAACCAGACCCAAAGCTAAACACATTTCTGTTTCAACCAGAGCAGCTATGCGCTTTTGCTTATTTTTCATATCGGACCTCTGTATAAGAATTCATTTCACATCGGAGACCATAGTGCTCATGTTAACAGCGTCCACAACAGCATCTTGTTCATATTAAACCTTAAGAAACATTGTTGCCTGAATGAATAAATGAATGCATGTGTGTGTCATAAAGGGTTCTGTAGTTTAAACTATTTTAAAAAATTGACAAAGGAAATCAAATTTTCTCTTTCATAAAGTAATTCTTCTAAGAGTAATCAAATCATCCACAGAGTGAATCCCATCAGCCAATTGCTTCACTTGCAGAGTGAACCAGAGTTCGTGGTGTCCCTTAGAGACACTGTAGTCAGCACCACCACCCCTAGAATAATGCACAGGCTCTCACGGCTCTGCTGTGGAAGGCACTTCCTTTGGAACAGTTCTGAAACAAGGAGGTTATTCATCCTGTTCAAAGCATCCTGGGTGCATTGCAATTAACCGCAGTAACTCCAACAGAAATGCTTTGTTTAGGTTTGGATTAAAACAATTAAAGATGACATGGTTTTTATAGCAATAACACCTACATGATGACATAATAACTGTTTTACTTTTAACAGTTCAAGTACTGTATAAGAAAAATGAAACTCCAACTTGATTATTTTATTTAAAGATACCCAAGTCTCCAAAGCATGAATAATATTTAAATGCAAATACAAAAAGTACATTCCAAAACAAATAAGTAAGCTGCTTAAATTCTCCACTACTTTTCTCAGCTACATATCTGTCTCACTCTTTTAGAAAAGGTTTTTAAATAGAAAGCTCTATTTTAATATTTATATTTACCTATCAATTTGCTAAAAAGAAATCTGTAGATTGCTTGGCATAGAACCACTCACATATAATATATGATTTCAGGAGATTATGGCCATAGTAAGGCATGTTCTTATATTTTCTTTACTAAAAAGGAAACATTTTAATTTTTCAGGATCCAGTTCCTATTATTTCTATGGAGATTTCTTCAAAGAGAGTAAGTTGTGTGTTTGTGTGTTTTGTATGGAGTTCAGGTCAAAGGATAGAGTGCAAGTACATGTGCTTCCTTCCATCTGAACAGGTTACAGTTTTATTCTAACAAGAAATATATAGTGATTCACATGCAATAAATTTTTGTTTATTTTTTTAAAGGGAAGAACCCTGGCTGGTGTACTCAGTGGTTTGAGCGTGGGCCTGCGAACCACACAACTGTGGTTCGATTCCCAGTCAGGGCACATGCCTGGGTTGCAGGCTGGTTCCCTGCAGGCCAGTTCCCAGCAGGGGACGCACAAAAGGCAACCACGCATTGATGTTTCTCTCCCTCTCTCCTTCTCTTCCCCTCTAAAGATAAATAAATAAAATCTTTAAAAAAAATAAAATAAAGGGAAGATGTGAGTCCATTTACATCTACAATTACATGGTATTGTCCCATACTGCTTTGCTAATAGTTTTGCAGAAATAATGGTAACACAAAAAATTTGGGCAGGAAACACAAACCTCCATTCCATTTTACTGGGCCTAGTTTCCAGTGTAAATGTCTCAGAAATAGTTGCATACATTCCTGAAATTTACTAATAAATAACCCTTTTTGTTTAGGCAAATGGGAACACACAATGCTACTTGTTCTGCTACTTGTCCTTTTTCCTTAACAGCACATCTTGCAGTTAATTCCATGCTATTCCATGCATATCTGTCTACATCACTCTTCTAAATGTGGTGTGTCAGTGTACACTGTCAGTGGGAATGGAAATTGGTGCAGCCACTATGGCAAACAGTATGGAGGTTCTTTAAAAACTTAAAGATAGCATTACCATATGTTCTAGTAATTTCACTTCTGGGCATTTATCTGAAGAAAATAAAAGCACTAACTCAAAAAGATGTCTGCACTCCCTGTTCATTGAAGCATTATTTTCAATGACCAAGACATGGAAACAGCTAAAGTTCCCATCAAAGTAAGATTGGCTAAAGAAGACATGATACATACTATATACAATGAAATATTATTCAGTCATGAAAAAGGAAACCTGCCGTTTGTGATGCCATTGTTGGTGCTTGCGGAAATTATGCTAAATGAAATAAGTCAGAGAAAGACACAAACACCATATGGACTCACTTAGATGTGAAAAATTTAAAAGCTTATAGGAACAGAGAACAAATTTGTGGTTGCCAGAGGCTTGGGGTGGGGTAAACAAAGTGGGTGAAGATAATCAAAAGGTACAAACTCCCAGTTATAAAATATGAAAGTCCTAGGGATGTTATATGCAGCATAGTGATTATAGTTAATATCGTATCAAATATTTGAAAGTTGCTAAGAGAGGAGATCTTAAAAGTTTTCATTACAGGAATAAAGACTTTGTACCTGTGTGTGGTGAGAGACATTGACTAGATTTGTGGTGACAATCAATTGGTAATATGTAAGATATTGAATCCTTACATTGTATACCTGAAACTAATGTAACATTGCTTGTCAATTATATCACAATTTTACAAATGTAAAAATAGATGATTGTATTATTTAACCTCCTACAGAACATCTCTATTGATCTTTTAAAAAGACCAACAATATTAGATGATCAAAAAGTGTTTCTACTTAGAAAATAATAAAATAATAGTCAACTACTTGAGAACTTGTCAAGTCACCCTAGCAATTTTGTTACTCATGCATCCAAGTCTATAAAGGTATTTCATACCTTGGAGAAATTAAATATCAATGTTTCATTTATCTATCCTGAGGAACTGCAGTCATTTAAGTGAACATTCAAGGAGGTCATGGTGTGTAAATGTGAACATCTAACTGTGAGAGCTCAGTGAGAGTTGTCTCCGGTTCTACTAGTGGTCTCTCTCTCCTTCAATGTCTATAGCAACAGCTGTACATTGGATCTGCTTCTGCTGTGGCCCAAGTCAGATTTCATCAGTGTGACATGTATGGAAGTGCCTGTGCAGACTGCTGCCTGGCTCGGGACCCTTACTGTGCCTGGGATGGCATATCCTGCTCCCGGTATTACCCAACAGGCACACATGCAAAAAGGTGAGACGGTCCTTGATGGGGTATTTCCCTTGTTTAGGAAAATGCTAACACTTTTTTTCTTTCTGCACCCATTCCATGAACATAACCATGTTACTTTGTTTAGATTAATCATCAGAGTCATATTTTATGCATAATATAAGCTTTGAAAACTTATTTTTTTCCCTAAAAGTAACTCCCATCAATTATTGTGTAGAAACTGGAGCTGAGCGTTGCTCCTGGATTTTAGTTTTTCTACCCAGGTTTGAATCAACTCTTTCCTTTTCTGAAACTTTCACTGCAAGACATGAAACCAGTTTAGAGAACTTAAAATGTGGAAATTGCAAGCCACCTCACATGAGGCATTCAAAGACTTAAAAGGAAAATAAATAAATAAATTCTGTAATACATCCTGAATTTGCCCCAGGTCCTCTCGGGCAGCTGGTCTCCATTTATTTCATTTTGAAAGTGAATATTTTAACTCCTAGGCAAATGCGTGACCTGTATAATTAATGAAACATGTGATTTAATTCAACACAAATGAAAGGTACTGAAAGACCTCCAAACTCTAATGTCTACAGTTCAGCAAGGTCATTGCCACTTGTTAGAGAAGGTAAATCTCATGATTCTTTGAACAGGAGATCTTGAAGTGTAGCATGTATTTTGAAGAATGAGACTATTTCTTCACTTGAGCCATATGAAATTTGGGGGAAGAAAATAAAAGGGAATATTTTTGTTTAATTTAGAACAAGAAATTATTTTTTTCTCTTAACAAAGTGACCAAAGATAACAAAAAGCAAAAACAGAACGATATATAATTTCTTTGCTGAAAAGCAATTTTTGTTCACATCAATTATTGTCTTTCACTTTGGGTTACTTTTCTTTAAACCTTTTTCAAAATTTAATTCAACCCAATTTAATATAGTTGTTATTTTTACAGGTCCATATATATAGTAGAATCTCATTTAAAAAAACTTAGTCACTAACTTGAGTCTTTTGTTAATTTGACCTTAGCTAAATTAGCATTTCAATGAGGAAAGGAAGGATATGCTTAGCAGAGAGTGAAAAGATGCTTTCAGAAGACATTTATGAACTCAACCATTTACTAACTGTATTAAAGAATTGGGCAAGTTGATTATATACTAATACTTACTGATATTCTAAAACAATTCTTAGAGAATGTAGCCATTATTACTTGAATATATTATTTAATGGCTTATTCACCCATGAAGGCAGTTACTGTACTATATGTGAGGGTAATAGAGAAACAATCACAGCCCCTTGTCTATAGAAAATAATATGAAGTGGAGAATGGAATTGTAAATACATAGCTCACTATTGGGTACTTACTAGGTATGAGGTACTTGACTAAGTGAAATATGCATAAGATACTATTTAATTCTCAAAGAGCCAAAACTTTGTACTCAATCTTAAAGGTAGAGATATAAAGTCATTCCAGTTAAAGAGAACTAATTGTTTGTACAAAGGCATAGAATGTTTAGGAAAAAGCTTATAGTTCCACAGGTTAGGAGTGAAGTAGCAAGAGCTGAGGGTGGAAAGCTAATTTGTGTATTATTATTAGTGACCATAAAAATGTTTAGAAGCCTTGCAACAAATACTTGTGAATAACAAGGTTTTTTTATTAGGCATTTAATAATGATGATGAATTTTAACTGAGCAGTTTTCATTGCTAAATATTTCTTGCTATATGGTTCATCTTGTACGGGTGTACAACCAAAAGCTTGATAATATATTTAAAAAGGGTTGGACAAAAAGTTATTTAGCAAAAGTTAAATAAATGGGCAAATGTGTAGACAGGAAGGCGTGAAACGCTGGAGTCAGGAGCCACACTCGTGAATGAATTAGTTCAGTTCAGTGACATGTAAGGGAGATCTTTCAAGTGGTGTCAGATTCTTTTAACCATCACTCACCCCTGGAGGAGGACGTTTTGGATAAGTTCCAGTACATGAAGGGAAAATAGTTTGCTTTTATAGCAGATCATTTTGCTTCAGACATGACTACCAGTACAACTTTAAAACTGGTCATTAAAATAAATACTTTTCTGTTCAGAGAGTGAAAATAAGTCAAAAGAGGAAAATCATTAATTCACAAACCAAAACACTTGTTTAAAATAATCTTCCAAAATACACTAATTTATACAGTTAGGTCTTTTTCTTTCTCCTTGCTCTTGTAACTTGTCTATTTCCAGCATTTTCTTTTAAAAAGTTTCTAAGAGGCAAGAGATATAAGAAAACTAGACAACCTTAAGAATAAAAGGCAAATGTGGGTAACTTTTCTGAAACTCCTGAGCATTTACATTCCTTTTTAAATGCTGACATAAAGGACAGCTATACTAGGAGAGTATAAAATGAAAACAGTTGCTGGACAGGTAGCTCAGCTGGTTGGAGCAGAGAGCTAGAGTTGCAGATTCGATCTCCTGGCAGGGCACACACAAGAAGCAAACAATGAATGTATAAATAAGTAAGTAAGTGGATCAACAAATCAATGTCTCTGTCTTTCTCTCTCTAACACTCATTCTTTCTCTCTTTTTCCTGTTCTCTCTCTCTCTCAAATCAATAAATAAGAAAAAATTTTTAAATGAATGAAGGCTTGGAGAATGTGATTTCTTTCCCTGTTAATGTGTGTTTCCAGTAATTTTATTTTTTAGCCTTAAAATATTTAATTTATTTGTTTTTAGAAAAAGGAGTAGGGAAGGAAAGGAGAGAGACACATCAGTGTGTGGTTGTCTCCCATGCACCCCCTACTGGAGACTTGGCCTGCAACCCAGGCACGTGCCCTGACTGGGAATCAAACCTGTGACCCTTGGATTCACAGCCTGGCACTCAATCCACTTAGCCACACCAGCCAGGTCTATTTTTTAAAAAAAATTTAAGTAGGTTTTATTGATTATGCTATTATAGTTGTCCCATTTTTTCCTCCACTTTATCCCCCTCTGCCCTCCCATCAGAATTCTACCCCCTTAATTCATGTCCATTGGTCGTACATATAAGTTCTTTGGCTTCTCCATTTTCTGTACTAATCTTAACCTTCCCCTGTCCATTTTGTAGCTACCAACTTTGCTTCTTATCTCTTGTACTTTCTCCCCCATCCTTCCCCCACACCCTCCCTGCTGATAACCCTCCAGGTGATCTCCATTTCTGTGAATCTGTTCCTGTTCTAGTTGTTTGTTTACTTTGTTTTTTTATTTTTCTTTTTTAGGTTCAGTTGTTGATACTTGAGAGTTTCTTATCATTTTACTAATAGTTTTGGTCTTCTTTTTCTCAGATAAGTCCCTTTAACATTTCATAAAATAAGGGCTTGGTGATGATGCACTCCTTTAACTTGACTTTATCTGAGAAGTACTTCATCTGCCCTTCCATTCTAAATGACAGCTTTGCTGGATAAAGTAATCTAGTTTGTAGGTCCTTGCTTTTCATCACTTTGAATACTTCTTGACAACCCCTTCTAGCCTGCATAGTTTCTCTTGAGAAATCAGCTGATAATTTTATGGGAATTCCTTTGTAGATAACTGTCTCCTTTTCTCTTGCTAATTTTAAGATTCTCTCCTTATATTTAATTTTGGGTAATGTAATTGTGATGTGTTCCTCCTTGAGTCCGACTTCTTTGGGACTCTCTGAAATTCCTGGACTTCCTGAACTTCCTGGAAGTCTATTTCCTTTGCCAGATTGGGGAAGTTCTCCTTCATTATTTTTTCAAATAAGTTTTGAATTTCTTGCTGTTCCTCTTCTCCTTCTGGCACTTCTATGATTTGGTTGTTGGAACATTTAAAGTTGTCTCAGAGGTTCCTAAGCCTCTCCTCATTTTTTTGAATTCTTGTTTCTTCATTCTGCTCTGGTTGAATGTTAACTTCTTCCTTCTGTTCCGTATCATTGATTTGAGCCCCAGTTTCCTTCCCTTTACTGTTGGTTCCCTGTATACTTTTCTTTATTTCACTTCACATAGCCTTTACTTCTTCCTCTATTTTGCAGAGTCTGGCAGTGTGTCTTACTCCTCAGCCATTCCTCCCAGTTTATCACCATGGGAATGGGGGACACCCAGCCTGCCAGCCTCAGCCTTATTGTATGTCCATCCTCTCTGCCCCAGCTGCTCACCTCTGCTCCTCCCATCAGTCTGGGTGAATGTTTCTTCTTTAACTCCTTGGTAGTGGGACTTCCATATAACTTGATTTTCTGGCAGTTCTGATTGTTTTTTTTGTTTTCATATTTGTTGTTCTTCTTTTGGTTTATGAGGAAGCAAAGTGTATCTACCTATGCCTCCTATTTGGCTGGAAGTCTGTTTCCAGTCATTTTAAACAGATTTTTGCATGGTTATTATTCACATTACTTATCTAGAATTATCTGGTTGTAATTCCCTATTCTCACATCACTTGTATAATACACATGATACAACATCATTTCTGCAAAGTGGAAACTATTCTCCTTTCAGTAATTTATCCCTGCTCTGTTATTCCTCATTGCTCAACACTTTGGATGTTGAACACTTTGGATTCCCAATACAAAGAAGTACTCAGTGCTGTGGAGGTTTAGCAAAAGCAGTTTAAATCTTACCTGGAGCTGCCACCAGTTGTATAATCACTGTACATGTTAGTATAAATTAATATGGGACTGTAAAACTTTTTACTTTTGCTTTTTACTCTTTTGTCAACTTCTATTTTCAGTTCAGCTCAACAGAATGATCTATGTGGTAGACTTAATCTTAACTTTGTAAAATCTCCGGTCTGTAGGTAAAGTTTTCTAAATAGCAATAGTTATTTTTTTTTTTAAAAAAACATGCTTTTAAACATAGGTCACAATCCTAAAATTGATTGAAAGTGTTCATCTGCCCTAGCTTTCAGTATAAAGAAATACTTAAATAATTGTTAAGAATAGAGTTCTTAACTAAAACCTGAACTCTCATGGGAGACTGAATTCCATCTCTTGAAACAATGTCCCATTATCAGTACGCTGAAGCATTGAAGGGGACCTAGAATGAAAAATATTGAAACTGGTATAGATATTAGGTGTGAGAACAATTTTGTCCTACAAAAGAGGACACGTGGAACCAGGAAATGGGAGAAATACGCCTAAGGTCACATAGCATGTGAATGGTGGTGTAGGGACTTGAATCTGGTTCTCTTGTCCAAACGTTATCATTGCATATGGTCGAAGCTTCTCTTCGTCACTTAGGAAACCTCCCTGTCTCACTCTCTGGCGAAACTTCTGCTTTGCCTTCTGCTTTTCCTAAGATCTTGAAGAAATGCCATGATTTAGAGAAGCAAGTGGTATTTTCTGCTTTATGTAATACTTCTATTTTTATCTCTAATCTGAGTTAATATGCTAAAGATTTTTATTTAAAATTCCTATACCAAAAATGATAATTTCCATTGTTTATTTCCTCAGAAAGCTGCTTACAATTTTAAAGCAAGATACATAATTAGGAAATTCTTCTTAATAAAAATGTCATTTCTCAACTATATATCTAAACAATCTGTAAAATATGAAAATATACTAGAAATGATCCTGATTTTAATAGAGAGCCTTGCAGGATATCCTGTTAAAAATATATAACACACCACCACATTAAATAGAAGCATATGATTTCTACATATGATATCCAAATAAAGGAAGTTAAATATGTTATTAGTTTATCTTTTTGAATAGCAACTGTGTTTGTACTAATTATTCACGATGGCTATAGAAAAAACATTTGGATTCAAACACCTTTTTTTACATATACTTCATTACATAGGAGTTTTATATATGTTTGCCTCAAATTCCACGCTTTCTCTGCACACATGCCTTACCACCCGACACTCATTTCAAATCAGGTTTCCTATTGAACTAAATTTTAAATGAAATGAAAGAGAACTTTCTTGAATTATTGTTTCAGATCCAGAATTCAAACTAATGTGAACATTTAAAGAACAGTTTTAGAAGCATCTTATCCAATGAATAATATATTATTCAGTAGAAATATTGAAATGAAACTTGTATTTTATCCTTGCTTTGTATGACCAATCAATTTTTTTCAGTAGCAAAATACTACTTGAATTTTTAATGCAGTTGGCTATATTTTAAAGTCTGGAAAATTGAAATCTGAGCATCTCCTAAACACATTTACTTTCTTTCAGGCGGTTCCGCAGACAAGACGTTCGGCATGGAAATGCAGCACAGCAGTGCTTTGGGCAGCAATTTGCCGGTAATCCACAGAAAATCGATTGTGATGGGCTACTTAGAGTGCACATCGAAGAGAAACTGTGAACTTCTTAAAAAGGGTCCTTGTTTTCTTTGTGGTCGATATACACACAAGTGCAGCGTCACTGAAAGTATAATTTTTTCTACCACATCGTTAAAATGTTGTGGATTTCACATGTAATTTTCACTTACTTAGGAAATTAAGTTTTATATTCCAACACCAACCTTCACTGTTAGTCTTCAAAAACAGGAGAATCCTAGAAGAGCAATGCTGCATATTTTAGGTGGCTGATGTGGGACTTCTCTTTCTACCTCAACAGTAGAAATATCACTGCCTCGTTATATAGCTTATGAACTTTCATCAAGAGTGGTCTCACTTGTGTTGTTACCTACTAAGTTGGGGATAGAATAAAGTGAAAAACTTTGACCCTTTCACTTGGTATAGAATAAGCTGAGAGCTGTGTTGGCTGTGCCGACAGGGGCTCCTGAGGAACAGGGTAGGTAGGAACAGTGCTGTGGCTCTCCACACCGGGGAGGGTGGCTGGTGAATGCTGTGCTTAGTGTCACCGAAGATGACAGAAGAAAGGGCCACCAGGACTGGGAGACCAGTGGTGTTTACACAGTTCCAGAAGTTGTGGTGCAGTAGTAGTTTGCTAGACTGTGGTTTGCAAGCCTCTGAGAATATTAGCTAGAGAAAGGCAGGATCTTAATCTTAGGGAAACTTAGGAGTCCATTGTCAAGGAGGACACAGGCATAGGGAAAAAAATTCTGGGGTCAAGTCACTGAATTTAACCTTGTTTAAAACAACAAGAAATAAATCCACTTGCTTTTATTCCCCACTGCAGTTAGGTATACTTACCTGTATGTAAATTTGGGTTCAAGTTCAGTGAGAGCCTTTCTGATCCAAGATACAGTTTATAATCAAGAAGCTCTGGTTCACAAAATCCTTAATTCAATTTCATGTTCTTTTCTTATTGCAGAAGCCCAGTACTTGGATAAGCGCAATCCCTTATTAGGATATCACTCACACTTTTGTTTATGGAGTGGCATATCACTCAATATCTGCTTTCTGTTTTTGTTTTAACCATGACTTTAGCCATATTCCTTGCTTGAACATTTGGTGCTCACCTTTCCTTGCTTATTTTGATAAGCACTTGCCACTGATTTCACATAAATTTCACACTGATGACCAATTTAACACGAATGCATCCGTTTACTGTCCTAATTGTCTTATTTCTTGCGACCAAACTTCCTTCTGTCCCATCCCATAGCCTGCTGTGTCTTTTTAATGTTGAGATTTGGGTATGCCATAAGTCTAATATTAAAAAAATTCCTTTAAATGAACTTTCATCAAAATTGCAATAAGTAATGAAAGTTGCCACTTTGCTGCAAAGATCTGAATAAATAAACTTCTGAAATAGTATCTCCCAAACTCAAAGTCTCGAGGCTGACGCTCACATTCACGTTGTAGGGGATGTCTTGGACATGACTGAAGAGCAGCTGGTATATGGCGTAGAGAACAACAGCACGCTGCTGGAATGCACACCGCGCTCCTTGCAAGCAAAAGTCATCTGGTTCGTACAGAGAGGACGTGACACGAGAAAAGAGGAGGTAATTCATAGCTGCGCATTCACACCGTGGAGTCTTTCATATGTGTGCAATTAGTGAATAGAGGATTATTTATTTGGGTGCTTAAAAATGTACAGTTTTGTACTATACGTGCCATTAAAAAGTGGGTTTATTATGTGTAATTTATATACATATAAAGGTTTTAAATATATAAACCCATAGATTTTTATATACAACTATATTCATATATATAATATAAGTAAGTTATATATACATATGTTTGTGTATATATATATATGTTGTATGTGTATATAATTTAGATCCTGGAAACTGAATTTTTATTCAGGAGGTACTTATAGCTTCATGATTATAGCATCATACTGTCAAAATGATAGTCTTAAGTTATACTGCCCAAGGCAGTTTTCCAGAAAAATAGCAAAATGAAGCATCATTAACCTGTGTATGTGACATATGGATCATTGGATTAAAACAATAACAACAGCAGCGATATTAACCCCTGTGTGATGCAGTTGTTAAATCATGTAGGAGACCTACACGGGGTCCACTGTTGTCCACAGGGAGCAAGAGAAAGGCACCAGCTCTTATGCTTCCCAAAGCAGGTTTAGTGGTGGGGATTATAGTTCTCTAATCATTTAAATAATAATAAAAGGACAAATCGGGCAACTTTTATAGACAGAAGGATAGGCAGGCTTTAAAATCCACATAGAGAATAGTCTGGAGGCGGACACTGGATAAAAAAATGTGAGTCTAGGGAGTCGGTGGCAGAGAGGAAGAGGCCAGGGGCATGAAGATTCAGGGAAAGTGGAGGAAGCTTTGCTGATGCTGATGTAGGCTTTGAACTCAATGTTCACAAAAGTGAAACTATAAAAATAGAAAGTAGAAGAAAATTTGCTTCTGTTAATGGTCTGTGATTGCCCTCGGTAAGGAGAAGGTTGCAAGTTGAATAAGGGAAAGAAAGTCCGGAGACCTGCCTTAGGACACGAGGAAGAGCCAATAGGGACATAATGGAGAGTGTGAGTGAGTGACATGCTTCCTTCCACCTCATCTTGGCGCTGGAGACCCAGCATTCATCACTGGAAGCCCAAATTATTGATTCTAAATATAGAACGCATGGACTTTGCATGCTTCCCCCCTAGCCTGTTGTGAGACTACAAACCCAATGTGATTTGGGTCCAAAATTATACAGTGCACTCTGAAAGATGATTAAATTTGTAAATCCCAGCTTCCTGGCATAGCTTTTGGAGAGGAAGGCACCTCAGTTTAACAAAGGCTATTAGGGATAATAGAAGAAGGCAATCAGGAAAGGAGAATTTGCCTAACTTTTATAATGTCATGAAAATAAACACATTTCTAAAATGTTATAGTATGTTTTTCTGAAATAAATTGTTGATTTAGCAGTAATATATTTTCCATTCCACAAATCTGAGATGAGGTTGTTTTTTTAAATTCCATCGTAACTCACTTGGCAAGAGAGGACCTCCTCCAGCTCAAAGACTTCAGAAGACAAAGTAATTCTTTCATCAGTAGTTTTCTCAGTTGGATTGTTCTGGTTCTAATTTGGAACTCAGCATAAACGGTCTTGTTTGGAAATCTTTACCAAAGAATTTTGACATGCTCCGTCCATCCCAATGTTCACTTTTAAGCTTCTTTCTCACATTGTTGAGATCATTACTTCTCCTTTACCCAAATTTTAGTCCCTATTTTGAACTACATTTAAATATCCCTGACTGATGTATTTACTGAGGGAGGGTTGAAATTTTGGATGCACTCTTTTCATTGAAAGTTTTGCCATAAGAAATTAAGAGACTACTTAATTTCTATAAACATAGCAATATATGTTTGTGTGTGTGTATATGTGTGTGTATATATATATATTCACAATATAAAATAAAACAAAGCAAAATTGTTAATTTCAACAGAGGCTGAAACTGTATATTATATACACAACCAAAATAACTTTGCATATGTGCCTTTTAAAGCTTTAAAAGTCTGTTTTGAGTATTTTTTAGAGTTTTTATTTAAAGGTCAGAGTTTTACTTAAAGACCACTCTGCACTTATTATAGTTACTATGAGGCAGCTAAGATAATTATTTTATTATCAGATTTTGACCATGGTGAAGGATGTTTCAGTCACCTAGTCCAGTCCTTTCCTCATATGCAAATGTTCTGTGGGGCAAGTGCCCCTGCCCGTGGCCATCGGGTTCATCAAGGACACTGCAAGCCACACAGAGTCATTTATCTGCAGCCAGACCACAAAGTTTGTAAAATTGATTGTCATATGTGTACTTTCCTTTTACTGAACTGAAGTTTTTGAATCTGGAGTATCTGCCTACAACTCCAATCTCACCCCTCTGAAGTTACCCAGGAATCACATTTGGCATATAGTATTTTTGTTCAAACAAATCTTTAGAAATGCTTCAGATAGCGTCTAGCAATACAGTTCCCTAATTTCTAAACTGGATTAGTACAATTCTCTTGCATATGAACTTTACAGTCTCCTGCTTCCTTAAACACCATATATGAAACATAATCTGTATACTTTTCATTAATTGCATAAGTATTTATTGAAAGCCTACTTTATAAGCACTTCATAATGGGGCATTTCCTTTGGCTTGATAAGGATCAGTTACTGAGCTATCCTGAGGGGAAGACTTAACAGAAATGACTTGGTACATGGGGTTGTTTTTTAATGTGCATCTACAGAATAAAGGAATCGTGGTAGGTGCCCCACCTTATTATTCTTAGGTCTCACAACTGTATACTAGACATAATAATCTTCATCTCACAAATGCAGAAACTGAAGGAGCATAGCTCATACACAGATCACCATAGCTCATAAACATAAGCTCAAAACAAAGCACAGCCCATAAAACTAAAAGAACCATAACTCATGAAAAAAAAACAGACCCAAGATTTGGACCAGGTACTCCTTTCTCCAAAGCTGATCTATTTCACATTTGGTTGTTGTCTAAGTAACTAGGAATTTGCTATATGCGTTTTGTAAAATGTGCCATTTTATTCTAACATTTTATTTATAGATGAGGTCATTGAGATACTGAGCTTTCCTGATTACTCACAGCTAGTAAAGCAGATTCAAATATAGGTCTCTATGTTCTTTCTACTAAGCTACACAGCCTTCTGAAGTCATAATTCTTAATATAGTTTTGGATGCAGTGGGACATGGGGCAAGTAGAAAACTGTTCACAGCAGAAGTTCTGGAAATTGATTTCTGTAAAATGCCCCTAATATCATCTTGAGATATATAGATATAGACACAGTCATAGATTTTTTTTTCATCAGAATGTGGCGTTGTGTACTGTGGTAGCATTGGTGCAAAGGCACTACTCTTATGTTTAGATTTCTGAGAACTTGCCATTAACCTAAACGGTTCCCGCTCTAAGCATTAATACTGGGAGTCATTACTATATAATATGTGCATCAATGTATTTCCAATCTCAAATTTCTTTTCAGACTTCTGCTCTATGCCTGTTGGTAGGATTATTCTACATCAAAATAAATGTGCTGTATCATTTGAGTCTATGTAGGCATAAAACTCAGAGCACTCTCCCTCTATTTTTCTTGGGTTTATTAATTCATTGGCTTTATTCATTCATCTGAAACTTATTTACTGAGCATCTATCATAGAGCACCTGCCATATATTCTGCTTTTATAGAACTTGTATTCTAGAGAACAGAGAAGATGAGGATGAAAATAACAATGACAGAAACAATACCACCGTATAATAATTATGTTTAATGCATCAGATGATCATAAGGAGAAAAATGGTCATGGAAGGTTTTACTAAGAAGCTTATCAACAAAGTGATATTTAGAAAAAGACTTGAAAGAGGGGAGGTAATAGATCTTGTGACACTGTTGGGGAAGTTTAGGGGAACAGAGGTACAAAGGCCCTGGAGGTAGGAGTGCACTGATGTATTCAAAGCACATCAGGGTGAAGAGCAGTGTGTTTGGAAGGGAATGAGCCCTAAGGACACTAATAAACTGAGTCAAGGGGTGAAGTAAAGGGCAGCTCAAGCAAGCATTTGTGAACCTTTGTAAAGTGGCCTTAGCATTTGCTCTAAATTAAATAGAAAATCCTTGGTTAGTTTTCAGCAAAGGCCTGACATGATCAAAATTTGGTTTTAAAATGATCAATTTGGTAATTGTATTAAGACTATAGTGTGTGTGGGCAGGGGGCATAAAGGTGGATATCAGGAAGACTATACTATTTAAGAAGGTATTTCAAAATAGCCAACTGAAAGATTTTTGACCAAAACTAAACAGTGGTAGCTAGAATGGAAAAAACATTTTAATTAAGTGCATTTGATATTTGAAATAAAAGAGAAGCAATAAAAATGAATTACATGTTCATTCATTGTTTGGGTATTTATGTGATTAATGATGGAGTGTCATGATTCAAAGACTATTGGGAGGTGATCATCTCTGGGTGGTAGTACAATATGTAGTGTTTAAATTTATTTTTACAAAGTTGAAACCATATAATACAAATTTAAATGACCCTTTTCATCTACTATAGTGATAATATTTCCCAAAGTCAATAAATATTATTTAAAACTATTTTATGGATATGAGATATTCCATCATGTGGATGCACAATAAGGAATTCAACAAATCCTTTTTGAGAGTTACATTGATTGAAGCCATTGGCTATTCCAAACAATATTGCAGTTTATTTCTCTGTGCATTTTGTGCATATCTACAAATAGTTCCCTAGGAGAATTTCCCAGATGTCAGTTTGATGGACTGAACTAGTATGTTTTTTCTCACCAAAAACTGTAGCAATTTACATACACCTCACCAATAAATGAGGGTACCTGTTTGCTTTCTCTGTAACCGACCCTGGATCTTATTGTTTTTAAATATTTGCCAATATGGTGGTTAAAAATATCTTGATCTAATTTTTGTTTATCTGCTTTCTAGAGAAGCTGAACATGAATTCTTATTTATTGATCTTTTTTAATTTTTATTTTTTAGTAAATTGTGATTTTGTGTTTTACCCC